GATGGTGGCTGCCGCTGACAGGTGGCGTTTCAGCTCATACGATACGAGCATGCTCACGGTCCGATCTTCACAGTTGCCGAGGACAGCGAGCCGCCAGCTTTTCTCGAGGCACTGGCGTCTTCTCCGAAAGCTTCTTCGTCCAGGGATTGCGGTGCCAGTTCGTCTTCCAGCTCCCACTCACCAAAGGAAAAGGTGGTGTCGATCTACGACACGGACTATGATATCTATTCCAAAGCCAGGGCAGGAGAGTTTACAGTCGCAATGCCCGTGAGAACACCGGTGTCGGCTATCCAGGGAATGAGAAGTCCACAGCCAAACTGCAAGCCGTCACCTCCAAGCAAGAGCTAACTAGGAGACACCAGGAAAAGAAGACACACAGTTTTGCGGCGCCAGGGGCATTTTGTCCGTGAACTGCAAAGGTAAGTAAGCTTGCCACCACTGCTACTTCGCATGCTCCATTTTCTAAACCAGATTCCAGGTTTCGAAGAACGACACGGACAGTTTTGTGAGGAGGTGTTCCGAGCGCAATAAAAGAGGTGCACGCCTTATCCATTGTTTTAATTATTTGTAGCTTTTGACTCAGCGTTTTCCACTTGAATGCAGGTGCAGGCAGTTCTAGCGCTGCGAAACATAGCTTCCGAGCTCTCAGGTCCTCCCAATTAGTACTACTTAGAACACAGACTTTATACACAAGGGGGCAAAAAACAAACAACGAGACAACAAAGAAAGAAAGTAAGTAACGAAAGCTCTCGTATTTCTACCTGTGCAACTTGGACTGATGCTTCTTCTTCTTCTTGTTCTTCGTCCAGCGCTGGAAGCACTGCTTATCCGGACGAGACAATGCCGCCAACGACGGGATACTTATCGGAGAACTTTTTCTCCCAGTCGAGTAAGGTTGTCATCTCCTTCTCGCTCAAATCATCGAGAGGGCCGCTCACCTCGTCCGGCTTGGTGCTCATCTTTGCGAGTCCTCGGCTAGCATCCTTTCCGGCGAACACGGCGTATGGTCCTCCCGGCCCGTAGAAGTTCGTGGCGCTCGAGACATTGTAGACTTTTCCGCGGATTGCAACGCACACGGGCAGCGTTGGGTCGCTTCCATCGAATTTTTTGAGCTCTCCGGCAGTGATGTTCCCGACTCTCGCGTAAGCCATCGAAAGATCTCTTTTTTTCTCTGCAAAGATTCAAGTGGTGAGTGAGCTCTGGATTTGTTTTTGCTCTTTCACTGATCGCGGGATGTTCGCAGGGAGCGAGAGTGAGAAAATTGAGCTAGAATTGGAGTGGAATTCGATCGAGGAGATTTTTTGGGACATCGCATTGAAGAAGAAAGCTCTCACCTTGTTATGTTCTTCGCCCCCCAAGTGTAGAGTTTTTAGGTAGGGTTTGTCACGACATCTTTTTATGACGTGGCTGGTGACGTGTCACGGGCAGTGCATTTACTATGTTTTGCGACGTGGCAGCTGCCGTGGCTTGGGGTTTTTGTTTTTAGGGTTCTTCGATTTTCTGGAGGGAAGGGAATGGCGCTCCAGGATGAGAGCAAGCGGACAATGCGCGTGAGTGGCGCGTTTCCTCGCATTGTCTCAGCTGTGTTTCTTGCAGGTCGCCGTCGTTGGCTGCGCTCACGGCGAGCTCGACAAGATTTTCGCCACTGTGAGGCATGTGGAGGCCAGCGAGGGTTTGAAAATCGATCTTCTGCTGTGTTGTGGTGATTTCCAGGTTCGCTTGTCGATATTCTGTCGAAAATTTTCTCAAGAGGAAAGATTAATTTTCGCAGGCCGTAAGGAATGAGCTTGATCTTCAGTCGCTCGCTTGCCCTCCAAAGTATCGCTCTATGAACAGCTTTTGGAAATATTACGCTGGAATAGAGACTGCTCCGTGCACGACTGTTTTTATTGGAGGAAATCACGAAGCCTCGAACTACTTGTGGGAATTGTAAGGGTTCATGCTAGAAAAAAGCTATGTTTTTTTTTTCTAGCTCGTTCTTTTAACGTTGGAACTTATAGATACTACGGAGGATGGGTGGCTCCGAACATCTATTATCTGGGAGCTGCCGGAGTGATCTGGTTTGGCGGGCTTAGAATCGGTGGCTTGTCAGGAATTTATAAGCAGCATGACTACCATCGAGGTAATTCACTCTTGTTCTGGAGTCTCTGATAATAAATTTTGTAACAGGGCATTTTGAGCGGCCTCCTTATAATCCTAATGAGCTACGTTCTGTTTTCCACGTCCGTGAATACGATGTGCACAAGCTTCTCCAAATCAAAGAACCAATCGACATTTTCATGTCGCACGACTGGCCTCAAGGTATCGCACAATGTGGAGACTTGCAGGGGCTTTTGCGTTACAAGCCCTTCCTTCAACAAGAGGTCAGCTTGCCGGTATCCTTGTTTTCTTTGTGTTGAGTTCGCGGTTTAGATTGCAGACAATGTCTTGGGAAGTGTGCCTGCCAGAAATGTGCTTCTGAATCTGAAACCGTCGTATTGGTTTTCGGCGCATCTTCATGCCAAGTTTGCTGCTATTGTAAAGCATGGTGACGAGAAGACTACGAAGTTCTTAGCGTTGGACAAATGCCTACCGGGTCGCCCGTTTCTGCAGGTCTCTCTGGTGTTAAACTCGAGCATTGAAACTGACTCTCGATCTTCTTGTGAAGGTTTTTGATTTTCCCACGGCCGACGGAACATTGGAGGTCACCTATGACAAAGAATGGCTGGGAATAACACGAGCTTATCACTCGTGTTTTCCTTTGGAGAGGGTTGTGAGGACTCGGTAAGTTTGTCCCTTTTTAATGTGCATCTTTGACACCATATGTCGGCAGGGCGTGTTCAGACAGCAAAATCCATCGGGACTGGGTCGAAAACCTCTCGCTCACAAAGAGTTTGATTCCTTCTTCGTTTCAACAGACGGCTCCTATATATGATCCTCACAGAAAACTAACCGGTCCTACTGGTATGTGTACGCTTTTAGGCTTGCGTATTGTGTTCCAACTTCGCTTACATAAAGGCGTTCTTTCCACAGGACAAGCCAAAAATCCTCAAACGGAATACCTTCTGGACCTCCTGCAGTTGCCGTATTTGCTTGACGCGACACCCGGACGAGCTCAAGGTAAATAATCTCGTTTTCCTTTCCAGTCCTGCATTTACACACCTACTCTGCAGCGGGTCCCGTCGTGGATTTCAACGAAATCCGTCTCGAAGATGAAGAAGAACACGAGAAAGGCTGTACGGTGGCTGATCCCAATGAGATTGTGCTGGCTAACGATGATACAGACGTAAACTAATCGTCAACTCGCTTTCTATGTCCATCTCGACTTTATTCTCTCATGCTAACGGGTCTATCATGTACAGGCGACTTTGCGGTGATTCTAGAAGTTCGACACGCAATTGCTGTCCTCGATTCCCAACTTGGTTCTGTGTAGCAGTCATCTCATCCTTGATCTTTTCTCGCTTTGTGGGAGATGCGCATCCATCCTTTACGCGTCCCAAGTAAGTGGAGATGTTGTTCCTTATCTTTATTCCTCGTTTTTGCTTATCTTCGCTTCTACTTTCTTGTTGGCCATAGCAAAGCGAACGGTGGCTCATAGGACGATGATTTGGAGTTGGATACAAAGTGACAATCAATGTGTTGGTGGTGGAATGGCTGTTGCTGTTCTTGCAGCTCCACTGTGCTCTGTCGTCTCTCGGAGACACTGCTGCCCTTTCTGCTGCTCTGAGAGCCAGCACAGACGAACAAGGACTTCATTCTCCCCGCCCAGCCTGGTAAGCTTTTACTTCTACGCAGACAAAAACGTTTCCTCTCTCTCGTTTGTCTCTCAGGAAAAGCTAAAGTTTGATCACAAAAATCAAAGACGAGTACATTGTGTTGGATCTACTCGCGGTATGGTTTTCTTGAGCGTTTCTTTCGACACTAAAGTTATTTGCTCGCTATCTCAGGTGTAAGCATAGAAGTGAAAGTACTTTGCGGACAAACTTAAAAATCCTTTCAATCCATAGCTTTGCTTCTCAGGTGGAAGAAGTATAGAAGCTATTGGAGATCAAAAGTTCTTTACGGACACACTTAAAAAATTCTAACGAGAAGCTCCTCTCTTTGATTTGTGCTCTACTTTCCTTTAAAGATTTGGTAGCGTTGGACTGGCGTTGGGTCGTCAAGCGGTCAATTCAACGCCGCGGCCTGCGGGAAAAATATTGTCAATCCCCGTAATAGAGGCGTTGACTGCGGTGACTGCCACGTGTCATTCCTCTTGGCGCTGGCGTGTCAGACAGGTGGCAGACTATGCCACGCTGTATCCCGCGTGGAGGGGTACGCAGTCAGCAAACTGCCACATCACCTAGCACGCATGCACGCCACGCGGACGGCCGAGATTCGCGAGGGGTTGACTTTGGTTGAAATTTTCTCCGTGTGTGTGTGTGCCTCTGTTAAAGGCTGTCGCTCATTCAATGCGCGCAACGCGCTATTAGCAACTAACGCGAGGGAGAGCGATGAGAGTCCAAGGGCTTCAAAGAAGAGGAGGAGAATCCAGGGCGACGACCGAGACGACTGCGTCGCGCAGCGCTCATCTTCGCCGATGCTTCTTCTCTCGCTTCTCGCGAGGCCGTCTTGATCGTTGCCGCCGCTATAAATCTCGCGAATGTAAGTCACCATTCCATCGCAGCGCAGGTTTCCAGCGATTCTCTCCTCTGGATCGCCTCTAGCTCGCAGATTTCCTCCCCATCTCGCTCCCTCTAGCTTTCTTGGTTCTTGATCAGGCCCCGGCCGACCCTCGGGCAGCGCATCGCGTGAATCGGCTCCGAAATATCGCATTCCCGTAGCAGCGCCGATCGATCGAAACCCTCTCCGGGGAAATATCGCGGCGATCCTTCCGTCCTCCATGGGCGTGTCGACTGCTCCACTGGCCGACTGGCCATGGGAAACGCTCGGGAATCTCAAGGTTTGTGGCCCTCTCCTCTCTTTTGGTTTCTTGGCTGACAATCGATCGCTCGCTCGCTCGCCATGCAGTACATGATGTTTGCGCCATTTGTCGCTAAAGCGGCGCACTCCCATTTTTTCGCCGCTCGGCATTCTTCCACCGATCCCTGGTGGTTCCATCTCGTCCTCCTCGTTTTCTTGAGGTACCTCCAGCAGCAGGCATGGATCACGGTCTCCAGGCTCTACTTCCTTGTCAAGAAGTACCAGATTCAACAGTTTGCGCTGAGCTACGAGCAAGTGGATCGGGAATTCCACTGGTAACTTGGATTCGATTCTTTGCTCGGTGTGTCTAA